TTGTATTGTCGAAGAAAAAAAACCGAGACATTTGTTTTACCGATTTCTATTATTAATGAACTATGAAAACACATGAATTAATTTACAGTTGAAATCAATTTTATTTTCAGTTTAACTGTTGGATTACTTCGTTATGCTGATCGTTTCTGAACTGACCAACTAGTTTATATATATAGTATAACCTCTTCTTTAGAATCATCTCCTGTTATGAGATTCATTTAGTTCTTCTTTAACTCTGCTTTTATATAATCGTATCAAACTATCAAAGTATTTTCGTCAATAGAAGAAAAGCTATAATGTTAGAAATGATTAACTTAGATCATTATGTGAATAGAATTGAAATGGACTACATGATATAAATCAATGGTCGTCATTGGTAACATCTACAAGATACAAATTATGAAAGTAAGTAAATGAACTTTATATCTTTATAATAAAACCGATTAACAGAGTAAACGAAAATAATTAACCTAAATAAACTTAAACATTTAACCTTTATATATCTAAGTTGACATTGTTTTAATTAATTTTTTATAGTTAAAATAAGATTATAAAACAACGAAACGGAATAGATATAAAATTCAACTAATTGTGAAAATTAATAAGAATGTTGCTATTTTGACAGCTCATGTTAAACTTTTAAACTATCACTTTTATAATAAGTGAGTTTGTAAAAACAACACTCATCAATTTAAACTTAAATATTAAACAGCCAATGGAGAGACTCATAATATGCAACAAAGCTAGCAGAAAAATACAGTAAACCGGAACGACAAGTCAAGAACAAAAGGAGACTGAAATTCGAGAGCAGAGGGACAGAGGATAGAGCATTTTGAACAGTTCTTGAATAGATCAGCCTTATTGGACCTATTGAACATCGAAGCACCACATACAGACCTTCCTACAAATGTCCCACCAGCATTGCTATCAGGCGAATCAATCATAGCGAAACAGCAGGACCGAACGATACACCTACAGTAGCACTGAACTCAGACAATGAAGTAACTCCAAAGAAGCTTCATATCTTTTTCATTACGATTTGGGATAGAAAACAAGTAACAACAGACTGGAAAGAAAAATACCACATTAGAATACGAGTGAAAGGTTTTAGTAAACGTGAGATATACAGATGAATCACATTACTATTAGTACCACAAAACATTTTCAAGACTGCCGATGACCGGAACTAGAGATTCAGTAGTCTTCCAACTTCGAGATCCACAGACTGGATTTCGTAAACAGTGATCATATACTGATCAAACCACGTTGCTGCAGATCATTTTTGAGCCATCGATTGGATGAAACTCATTTCCCTACATCAACTTCCCTGATTATGAAGAAGAATTAGGTAGCGTGGACATGAGACTCCTATAGAACGTTCTTTGACACTATGGTGAATATGAGAAGGCTGATACCGTTATACGGAATTCTTAAAACGAACTACATTACAAAGTGTTGCATGTAGGGCGGCTCACAGATGTATTACAAATGAAGACTGTTTACTCTTGTCTCTGCCCTTTCTCCTGGTGTTTGACTGGATTATGAAAACCCGCATACCTTAAAGGAGGCACAGAATGGTGAACAGCTTAGATAAAAGTAGATGACATGGACTTATATCCCATACACAACAACAAATGCAAGTGAGATAGCCAACAAAGCAGCAATAAACCTGCACATACACAAAAAAGTAAGATCATGAGATACAAGAAAACAATCACCAACTAATTTAAACTTGACGAAGAAGCTTTGGTAGAGGTGAAACCTTTTACTTACATGGGAAAGATTATCAATAAACATGAAGGATCTGATGCAGATGTGATGGTACGGATTGACAAAGCAAGGGAAGAATTCTTACAATTTAAGAACATATGCGACTCAAAATGACTATCAGCCAACACCATAGTACGAATTTTCAGTACAAACGTATGGAGCTGAAACTTGGAGAAATATTACAACCATCATCCAAAAAAAGTATTTACAAACAGTTTTCTAAGAAAGATACTCTAGATCCGTTGGTCAGACAACATCGGCAACAATCCACTGTGATAAACAACAAACCAGCTATCAGCTGAAAAGGAAAGTAGGAAACGACACTAGAGATGGATAGGACGCACATCACATGGACAAATGATTCGAAAGACATCTGGGAAGTTTAGTTACATTGTAAGGCGTTTTTCAGTACCAAGTTAAATATGATGCTAAAAAAAATAATCCACACGTTTAATATTGACTCTCAAAATATAGCTTTCATACTAATTATTCAGTAAAAACATATACAGACTTACTAAAATGGTAAAAAAAAACATCAAATGGGATTCAAAACCAAGAGCGGGAGACATATCTTATGCACGTAAGTGATTTTAAATAGAAATAAATATTAGATGACACATAAGTTCTTAACGTGCGTACCATTCAGTTAAACACTTATTTTCAAAATATTTAAACATACTGTCGGATTGCTAAGAGTTAAAATGTGAATAGGCTAAAGACCACTGACTATGAATGATTATCATCAGTCATCTAATAAGTAACTGACTCGTGCTATTTCCAACAGACAATGAGTACACAGATAACAACTTTGATTCCTTAACAGAATCAACAAGCTAATAGATCTTCTGACATTTGTTTTACTAAGACTGGAGTATCAGTTCCATGATAATTTACTAATCAGTTCAGTAACTGCAATAATTTCATTGGATGATCAAAAAGATTGAGTAGTAATAATAAGAAAAGATTTCAATTGAAAATTAGCAAAAAGGATTATGTTGCTATTCACTCATACTGACGAATGAAACAGCGGTAAAATAATACCGAAATTTAACAATCGAAATGAAATTAAGATTTAAGTAATTAAAAATAATGTTACAAATGGTTGTAGAAGACTATCCTAAGTTGCTGCAGAAATGAAAAGATACAATCTGGAGGTGCTTAGAATCAGTGAAACACATTCGACGCAGGTTCGACAACAAAAACTAGCTTCAGGTGAACTGCTGTTATACTCCGACCACCAAGAAGAAAATGATCCACATACACAATGAGTCGCAATGATGCTGTTCAAACAAGCTCAAAAGCACTGATAGCATGGAAATCTCATGGACACAACATCATCAAAGCATCCATCAAAAAAAAAGAAAGGGGACATTACAATCAACGCCACCCAATGCTGCGCACCTATCAACAACTTCGATGAAGACCTTAAAGAATCAATCAAAGGATTTCAACATTCTGATGGAATATCTAAATGCTAAGGTTGATATGGACATAACTGGATATGAAGACATCATGGGACGACATTGACTAGGAGAAAGGAACGAAATCGGTGATAGATTTGCAAACCTAGGTGCTTTTAACAAACCGGTTATGGGTAGGACAATATTCCCACATAAACACATACACAAAGCTACACTAAATTCACCGGAGCATACTACGCAGGAGACCTCATCAAAATACCAAACACAGGCGATCTTAGTAAGTGTGAGAACTAAAGAGGTATCAATCTTCTCTCACTACCAGGAAAAGTCTTCAACGGGGTATTGTTAAATAGAATGGACTTTGTAGACGCTTCGAGATCAACAGGCTGGATTTTGTAAACATCGATCGTGTTCCGACAAAACTGCAACATTACGGTTCATTGTGAAACAATCAACCGAATGGAATTCACCACCTTACATCAACTTCATTGAATACGAGAGAGCACGTGATTGAGTGAACAGAACAACACTATGGAGGCTTCTTCAACACTACGGAGTTCCTGAGAAGATAATAAACATCATACGGAATTCCTATGATGGATTAAACTGCAAAATTGTGCACAGGAGACAGCTAACAGACTCGTTTGAGGTGGAGACCTGTGTCACTGCGTCACAAGACAAGGCCTAACTTGAGACCCTCAAGTTCAAAAAAAGAGGAAGGACAAAGAACACATTATGCCGAGAAATGGAGACAGACATGAGAAAAATGAACAACTGGGTGGGACTAAAAAGGAAGTCCCATGACAGAGTAGGGAGCAGAACATTGGTCGGCGGCCAACGGTCGATTGGGGTGACTGACTAGCTGACTGGGAGTAACAGGCGTAAGTAAGTAATTAAGTATGATTCCGACCAACCAATCACACGGTCAGATGTCCAAAGAACAAAACAGTTAACGTGAATACGAAAGTAAAGGGATATAAAAAAAGCCCGAGAAGACAACCGAAAACAAACACGATCACGGGAACGGACTGAGTGGGCACTTGTGGAACAATTTTAAAAGGTTCGTTTATACTTAAAACAGGAATTGATATTTTTATCTAGGACGGTAACGATAGTTCTTCACTTGAACCATTTGACACAGAGGATTACACATCTCTATATTCAGACTGATTTGACCGTTAGGAATATGATGAATTATCGAACAGATTGTAAACTATTTTACTAGTTCTGAAGGAGACTTTAGTTACTAGTATATTATGAACAACTTGACCAAACCAACCACACTATCTATAGTTGTGCAAACTAATTAAATAAAAACTATTTGTACTGATTGCTAATACAAGCTCAATTATTTTCTACAATGACAGGTTTCTGTCCGAAGTTTGGGCAGTGAGACTATGAATAATACAACAAAACAATGTAAACACCTACTCACTGACACATCAAACTTAATCTGTGTACTCAAAAAGAAAAAGAGGTTATTCACATAATTTTCTCTTGTATTTTATTTTAGAATATCTGGAAATGTATGCACATAAAAATAATGATGCCTGTAGAAAAAAATCTCAAATGATCGTGTTAGAAACAATAGGTACAAGGATATGATTTTGAGTGACCATACAAGTATAGAATTTTGAAAAAGTAGCTTTCTCTGAAAAAAACAACTAAGTCCTCATATTTATGAAGCACATAGTCGCATACTTACTATTTACAATATGTTTGTAGAAAGTTAACAAAAAGTAAAGGTAATAATTTGGATCTGTAAGATTGTTTGGTTGAACTTTAAAATCTAACTGGAAATCAGGTTTCCTAATCACTCCAGTCAGGATCTAATACGTTGGTTGTGCACTTTGATGTTGAAGTTAAATGAGATATCCTACTAGATTTATGTGGACTGTTCGAGCTTGTCTGTGATTCCGATTGATCGGTTTCATCCACATCTGGGACACACTAGAAAATAAAAGCAAAAATATAAAAAGTTTATTAGTACATAGTTTAGAAAGTTGTTGTGATACAATGAAGTGGAATATACGATGTACAACAGTAAATAGAATACTGAGATGGACGTCAACAACATTTAGCACGACTTCTGAAAACCAAAGTACAGACAAGTGTGTCACGTTCTAGGAATTTAAGTATATTCACCCGAAAGATATAAGCTGTTAGGCTATAAGCTAGTACTTCATTTATGTAGCACATGAAAAGAACTGCATTGGTAAAACATAACAATCGATAACAGATGCTTTCAACAATTTAATCACTTTTCCTTAGTACTGAAAATATACATATGTGAAAGAAATTTTAGAAACTGAAATTCGATCGCATGTAATTTGGGAAAATAATAATCGATTCGTAAAACTATTATATGAAAAATTCACTGAGTAGATCAAGTCAGCAACTGACTAAGTAATAATTCCACATACAACCAGTTTCTTTTATAAATCTAACTAATGCAAAAACAACAATTAGCAAAAAAAAAGAATTAGTTTAATTTTTATTTCGTGGATTCTCATCAGTCGATTACAACCGTACATATACAAATCGAAAAAAACACCGTCATCGTACTTCATCTACTAGTAGTGCTGATTTCAGGTTTCATCATTTAGCAGAAACTGAATAGCTTAACTTTGATTTTGAGCGAGTTGATCTCTACTGTTAGGGATATGAGGACAGATGTCACCTCAGCGTTACCCACACTGTGGTTGCTTCTTGAGGAACATCAAAGAAGTTATTAGATTATCGTTGGTCTTAGCAACCTGAGCATGAAAGCAGAGCCCAAGGGACAACTGCCAGCCACACACGGATTTTTTATAGGAAGTGGCCTTACTACCAGATACAGAAATCAGTAGGGTAAGATGAGGTGTGACATTTTTGCGGTTGCCCTTTTATCACCTTTTCCGCTGTGAGAAGGCAACACCTTTCAACAGTCAACAGCACGATTTTGCCCTCAGATCTTAAGTTGCTGTTTCTCGTCATACCATTCTGTAATGGACCTGCTTAGGATGGTAGGACCTAAAGGAGCATATGTTCCAACCAATATAGCTCGATTGCATCACCACGATAGGCAAGCCCAGCCACCACCTCGGGCTAAAGAGTGGTGGATACCGCAGATCCAAATAGGGTAGTTGGAAAATCTCGGTTTTAAACCAATGATACACGTCAGCTTCAAGATCTTGAGGATACAAATGGCGTATGGACCTAATGTTAGTTACTGGCTATCACTGAATTGCATCTCCTGACGTTGCTTCACTGCCTTGTGGATGATACCTATACGATAAAGGCTCAAGGTGGCCCCCCAAGATACCAGCTGCTTCGGTTCGGACAGCTGGATAGTATCCCATAGACCACACAAATTCAGTGATTTGTGCTGTGCATAAATATTTAGGTGCAACTTAGTAATAAAATTCTTTTTAGATCAATAGATAGATCTTGTATGGTTATGAAAGAGGACTTTTAGTCGATTGTAATTCGATAGCATTTAAGTTCAAGCGTTATATCAGTTTCAGCTTTCTTGGTTTCTATTTGGTGGGTGAAATATAGAGGCCTGATTTGATACGCATTAGTTTCGAACTGACATACAAACAAACTACACAAATGACAATAATTTTACAAATCTTACAAAAAACTCAACGAAAGCAACTTCTCCATCTGAAATATTTATCATGTACTGGATCGATAGAAATCCCCGATCATTGATACGCAGTGAGATACGACTAGCCATTGACAATGCTCGACTTGTCGCAAGTCGTAAAAGTGAAAGACGGAATCGCGCTATTCGAGGACTTGCAGCTGCAGATTCAAAAACCTCTACTTGATCAGATGACCTAGGTAAGTCAAAATGCATAGTCCCAGAAAAGCCATACGTTGTCAAACGGAGGCGAGATTGAATAGCTGGTGGCGGTATCACAGCAACTTCCAAGATTTCGCTTGAGTTATCAAGTTCATTGAACGCTTCACGCATGCATTCTGACTGTAATATTTGAAAATAGTCAAGGAATAAATGAAAGTATGTAAGTAACTCCATTTACATCAGAACTCGATAGCTTGTATTCACTTTCTATCGTATTGTATCATGATTTAACAACTTAAGAATCCAAACCAAATACACCAGATTTTCATTATTATACAAAAGTGTTTGTAATATCTACCATGTTCTAGTATCTTGATATAAATCGAGTAAATCCATACTATCATGAATCAACAAATACCAAATCACTGAAACCTGCTAAGCACAAGGAATTAGTAGGAAACAAATACTGAAGCAACAACTGATGGAGAAAATATGATGTTAAGTACTAAGTAGTTATGAATACTTTTTAAGACACATGAGCCAGTAAACATGAAGTGACAAAAATTTTCAGCAGACAGACAGTAACAAAAGGTTAATTGGAAAATAGGAAGTACTTAAGTGGTATTCATCTCAGATTGTTGTTCTCAGTATACGTTAATGATAAATTTGACAGACGCCGTAACTTTCAAATCTCACGATGAGATTACACCACTCCATCAATAAGTCAAGCCTGAACGCCTGCCTCCAGTGTTAAGTCAATTTAAAACAACACGACGTGATACCAAGAACTATGGTATGGTTTTTAATAATTAGTGGGTAAAGAGATTATTGTACATAAACATCAACCAAACTTATGCAGAGAAGTAGAAGTACGATGAAAAATATATCGTGATAGTGAACAGTATAAGATAAATTCGGTGAAGGATGAAACGACGCAAGGGATACTTAACAAGAAAATATACAAGTCAGTGAGGTTAGTTAACCATGAAATGGACTGACCTTGAAGTAAATAACCAGCCAGAAAAGAACAAGATCTCTGTTGCACACTAAGTTATAACTCGATAAACTATAAATTCATTCTGTCTGCTTTGGACGGTTTGATATCTTGCAGATTAATCGATACATAGAGCTGAACATGTGTCGAATATCAAATAAGTAGGACCTCGACCGTAGCAACTACCTTGATGTGGTGGTCGAACTTGCCTATCGTAATGACCCAACCGAGCTATATTGGCTCGAACATATGTTCCTGTACGTTCTACCATGCCTGGCAGGTCGATTGGAGAACGATGAGACTAAAAAGTAGTTGCTTAAGGTCTGAGAGCGAACAAGTACTGCTGACTGTAGAGGGGTGTGAGAGCAGTAAGGCGTTTGCCTCGGACAATCAGCATCTGCAGCGATACTGCCTTCTCACAAGGAAAAAAGGGGTTAGAAAAGGTCAACCCTAAAGGTTTCACACCTAACCTTACCTTACGGATCTCCGTCTCCAGCGGTAAGGCCTTGTAAACAAGAACGGAGCTAACACTTGAAATACTACCCATAAAAAAGGCCGTGCGTGACCGCTCTCAAGCTGTTGTCCCCTGAGCTCTGCGGTCACGTTCCCAGGTCTCCAAGACCGACACTGATCTACCTCCCTTTTCAGGTTCTTCAAGAAACACCCATCGATTAGGCAGCCAAAAAGTGACAACCGCCCTCATACCCGTAACAGCACACGAGACCATACTGGAAACAATCAAATCCTTCCTACACACCCTAACATCTCTCTTATCTCCGCGACTAACTCTACTCACATTCTTTTATCAACCCGTACCGCTGATGCAAACGATGCGAGTTCACGAAAAGCTATTCCTCGTTTCATGAAACCCCATTCTAGACTACATGTTGGAGCTTTTAATGTACGGACATTGTGTCAAATAGGACAACTGGCTTCCTTAGTTAGGACTTTAGAATCTCGCTCAATCGATGTATACTGTATCCCGGAAAGGCGCACACAGCATACTAGTAAAATCATTAATTTGATTTCACCTTGTCAAAATAAAGAAGCAGCTCGACTTAACCTTCGTGTATCTGGTGGCCCTGATGCTGCTTCTCGGGGTCTCACTGGCGTAGGTATAGCATTGATTCCTACGGTAGAACTAGCTCTCCTAGACTGGATCCCAGTAGATAGTCGCTTGTGTGCTGTCTGACTGAACGGGACAGTAAGGACTCTGAAAGATAGGGAAACTTTCCTCTTCGTCGTATCTGCCTATGCCCCCACTGACTACAGTTCAGACGAGGTGAAAGATAAGTTTTACAGAAAGCTTTCAGACCTCCTCCAAACAGTTAGGCGCTCTGATATAGTAATAATGGCTGGTGACTTCAACGCTCAAGTAGGTAAACTCAGCGAAACGGAAAGACACCTGGATGGATCTTATGGTATCACGGCTAACAGAACAGATAATGATGACAGTCTGCTGCAATTGTGTTCAGATAACCGCCTATTCCTAGCGAACACTAACTTTAGGCAGAAGGAAAAACATCTCTTGACCAGGCGACCCCCAAGGCCGACCCAACTAGATCACATCGCCATAAGTCATCGGTGGAGAGGCTCTGTTGAAGTCTGCCACTCATTCTGGAGCACTTGTTTAGACTCAGACCATGCTCTAATTCGAGCGCGCATTTGTTTGCATATTACTGGACGCAAGAAAAATATCGCAAGGAAACCTCTAAGGGTTCTACTGAATGATAATACGGCGAAGAATATATTTCAGGAACAACTAGAAAAACAGTTAGGCGACCATGTAAGCGATTCCTATCCAGAAGCAGGTTGGAACGATATCAAAAAAGCTGTGGAAACATCAGTGATATCTGCTAGTAAGGTAAACCATAAGTCTAGGATGAAGCCGTGGATCTCAGTAACATCCACCGAACTGAGAGACGCTAGTAAACTCATCCTTCCTGGCTCTGAACATGATGAAGAGCGAAGTCAACTTAGGCGCAGGCTGCTAAAAGCCTACGCAGTGATCGCGAACAGTGGTTGGTAGCGAAAGCAAGAGCGTTGGAAAAGGCAACGGCAATATGCAACAGCATACAGTTGTTCCGAATTATCAAGGAGACTGGTATTAAAAATCCGGCTGTAAGAGAGACTATCTCGGAAAAAGAGTGGGACTATTATTCACTCTTACCCCAGGAGATTGAATCGATGGACAGAACACTTTAGGTATCAGTTCAATTGACCTTAAGCAACACTTCAGTTACCCACGATCTCCAGTCATTCTGAATGGCGAGTCGACATAAGCCCTCCGACTCTTTATGAAGTTGAGAAAGCGATAGGAAATCTGAAGCGAGGGCGAGCATCAAGGGCTGACAGTCTTACCCCAAAAATTTTGAAGGATAGTGGTCCAGTTTTAGCAGTTAGATTGACTGAGATCTTAGGTAGAATCTGGGAACTAGGCGTGATACCACCTAACTGGTCTCAATCACTGACTCAGTGGATCGTGAGGTTCTGTGGCAGTGTCTGTCATTGAAAGGTGTACCAAAGAAGTACATTAACCTTATACAAGCACTCTACTCGAACACTACTGGTCGAGTAAGAGCTTATGGCGAACTGTCATCTGAATTCTCTAAATCAAGTAGTGTCCGTCAGGCATGTCCACTCTCTCCTCTTAGCGTTAACACTATCCTCGTCAGATTTTTCAGGGGTTGACCTTATACAAGGAAAATCTCTTAATGATCTAGAATATGCCGATGACACAGTTCTGTTCGGTGAAGACGCTGACAAAATGCAGAGTCTTCTGACTACCATAGGCAACAAGGCGAGCATGTTCGGAGTGCGGTTCTCACCTCGAAATGCAAAATGTTGCTTCAAGACTGGGTTGCATCGGCACCTGAACAAGTGGTAGGGAGTGAGCTAGTCAAGTGTGTTGAACTCTTCACTTATCTGGGGAATCTCATCAGCGCTGATAGCCTGGTGACTGACGAAATCTCAGCTCGGATACAGAAGGCTCAATTGGCTTTTGCCAACCTGTGTCAATTATGGCGTAGGCGAGATATCCGTTCGCTGACTAAAGGACGAGTGTACTGTGCAGCAGTTCGCTCTGTTCTCCTATATGGATGCGAGACGTAGGTTACTAGTATTCGATCATATTTAAGAAGCATTGCTCGTATACCGTGGTACAACCGAGTAAGCAATGCTGTCGTTGGGAAAAGGGTGCTAGGTAATGATGGCGGATCAATAAAAAAATTATTGAAACTTCATCAGTTGAGGTGGTTGGGACATGTGTTACATATGTCTAACCACCGACTGCCTCGACGAGCTATGTTTTGTGGTGTAGGAGTAGGTTGGAAGAAAGTTAGGGGCGGCCAGACCAAAACATGGCAGAAATCCATGAAGTCACTGACAAGTGGACTGAGTCATGTTGGTAGATATAGGCTACCTGGTTGGGGTCCGCGAGACGAAAGTTGCCAATGGTTAGAGACCTTGAATGACATGGCTCAAAATGGTTTACAATGGCGCAGGGGCATCCACTCTTTGTGTTCTCTCAAATTCTAACCTTCTGGATTCCCATCATCTTAATCTTTCTCTTTCTAAATTTATCGCACTGATTTATACTTCTCGAATCATATCTTTGAACCCTAATCTTGTCCATTACTGCTAATACTTCTACTATCGCTACCACTATTTGATTTGAACTGACAATTGCATCTCTGTGATAACGTGGTATGAAAATCTGAAATAATGTACGTACGTACGAAGTTCTACGTTGTAACCGATTGACTGACTGAAATAAGTAGGACTGAATAAGGGGAATTATCGGTCCATTAGTGATAATTTACCACGTGTCGAAATAATATAAACACCACTTTCAGAATATAAGCTCCAAATTCCCTAGCACAAACCAAGAGTGGGGAGAGTATGCTCTCTCCCTTACTCTCGAAATGCACTCTATGATCACGCCTATATAGCCACCATCAGAGAAATCGTACTCGCTGCCTCCTCGTAGCGAGGGTGTTGTTTACGAAGTTGAGGGAACAAAAACAAATGTCCAGTGCTTTCACTAGGCTGGTGAGTAGCGAGGATCCACCTAGAAGAGTTAGAAAATCTTAATCACAAATCAATGGTGCACGTCAGCTTCAGAATCTTGAGGAAACAAATGGCGTATGAATCTTATGTCTGTTACCGGCTACCATGGAACTGCATC